GTGTAGGCTTCTTCAAGAGTGGTAAGCTCAAAATCCTTATTACCTATTTCCATATTCCTTACTCGATCGTAACCAGAAGGCTTTCCTGAAATTAATTTAATTAATTACATTTACATACACTTATTCTTCAAAGAAATAGATTAATACATAGAAAATCATTTATGAAATTTACTTAATATAAATTTAGCATAAATCACTATTAATATTTTTTTTTTCTTTTTTTTTTTTTTTTTTTTTTACCAATCATAATGACAAACATTTGCAAAATCAAATTAATTTTATGAATTATGGAAAAATTAATTTACAAAATAGTTGTCAGTTTCAAATAAAGTAAAAACTAACGATAACGTACCTCCTTCGGTATAAACTTGACCGAACCTATAGTAACACATCTTATACATTAAACAATTAAGTAACGTAGGAGTTCCTTCCTTATCAACTCTAAACTCTCCAGCTGGATTATAGTAATCCCATTCCGATATCAATTTTCCTTTTTCCGTACTTCCAGCTATTCTCACCATCCATAAGAACTTATTGAGATCTGCATGTGAGAATAATTAAAAAATTTTGTACATAAAATTAATGATTTTAATGATTATAATTACAAAGTGCATATATTTATATTATGAATAAAACAATATTCATATTTTATTATTATAGACTAACTATAATTAAAATTTTGAAACCTACCATCGGACGAATAACCTGTTAATCCTCCAAAAATAACAAGCACATAATTAACGTCAAGCTCTCTCATAATTTCATAAGACTTTTCTTCTGTGCTTGCCATCGCTTGACCAACTCTTGATATATGCGTATTATTCCAAGTATTGTTATCAACTAAAATAGTCCGATTAGCCATCGCTGTTATTTGATAGCCATAATCCCACCAAGACATTACCTTAGCATCCTAAATGTCATTGTAAAATATATGATTACCGAGTAGATAAAGTAAAAATAAATTAATAAATTATTATAAAAACCTCTGGCGTATTCATACGTAACCAATAGTAAGCTTCTCTAAAATCGTCAAAAATCATTCTGCCACCATCTGGAGACCGAGCTGACAAGACAATACTTGGTGAACTATATGCTTCAACCGTAACCCACGTACAATGTAAAGTGTACGAGAAGAACAAAATGCACATTATCATAATAAAAAAAGTTGCAATCTATATAAAAATAAATATAAATTATTTTCTTTCAATTCAATCAACGATATTAACATTTTATTTTATTTGAGTTTCATTTAATTTTCTTTAATATTCATGTTACAACAAGATAAGATTAGATTTGTTATTAATACGATAGTTTCATGTATTTTAATTTTACATTAGTACATTAATTTTAATAAGTTAATCGTCAAATTTTTACTTATGCAACCGAAAACCAATATTAATACTTGTGTTTATACTGGAAAAATATAAAAGTAGTATAATTTTACTTTACCTCGCTTCTTAAAACATAATTATTTTCAAATTTCTTTAATTTTTTATCTATTATTTTAGTATTATCGATTTCTTTCATATATTTAAGGAGTAAAGAAGATGCTCCAATTCCACCTAGAATGCACATGACTGGCGCTAGCACCAACATTAATCGCACCATTACACCCTAAAATAAATTAATTACTTTATAATAAATATATACTAAGATATCTTATTTTTCATTCATACATTTCGCTCATTGGAATATAAATAAAAGGGGATAGAAAATAAATGATAAAATTAATTTTTACAAAATGACCAATGAAATATAATTGTAAATTTCACGATTCCAACATCATTATGCAACATCACACTTATTATACATTTTTACATTAGTTTTATCATACAAAAATTTAAATATCTATATTTTGTAGATCGAAAACAATTAATTAATCAAATAATTCTAACAAAACATAGTTTATTTCACAAAATTGAACATCAAACAATTTAACTTTAAATCAGAAGTAATTTGATTAAGTAATAAAATCTTTAAACTCTATTATTTTAAATTCTTAATTGTAATGAAACAAAATTATTAGATAAAAAAGACTTACAGCTATAAGTTACTTACAGCAAAATATAGACTTGTGGCGCCATATAAAATTAAGAATATATTTGAATCTGTTAGTTTGGAAAAACAAAAATATAAGCCAACTGGAAATAGAAATACTAAAATCTGTAAATCAAAATAAAATGAGCTCCAAGAAGTTGGCTGATGCTCTGATACCGATGCTATAATTGGAATGTGATTTTTGGCATACGAAGGATCTAATAATGAATAAAATCGTCCAGTCCATGGAGAAATTTTTCCTGTAAGCGTTAAAAGGACTCCGGTAAAAGAAGAAACAGTTAACGTTGAAATTATCAGTCCTTGGAATAATACATCAAAGTCAGCTTGTGATAATTTACTGCGAAGATAATCAACAAGAGCATGTATCTGACATAATCCAAAAACAACTATTGCCTAAGAAAAATTAATATTACATTTGATTAAACAATATTCGAATAAAATTCGTTTGAAATTGAATTTTCAATTAGAAAAAAATTTCACAATTATGAATATTAATGTACGTAGTTACAACTTACAAGCATATGCTCGGAGCTCTGAACAGGTTGAAAGCCCACAAATGGAATTTGCATTGAAAATATTGTTCCCAAACAATATAATATACTATATGCAACATAAATTCTATGTGAAAATCTACCAGTAACCATTAAAGTCAAAACATGTAACGGTATGAGGTTTATTAGGAAAACGTATCCTCCCCACGACGATACCATATAAAAGTATGCAAGAGCAGTACAAGTTGACCAAAAAATTGTCCCAGTTTTAACTGCTTTAATCCACATATAATAGGTAAAAAGCATACAAAAGATTGCTATGCCTTCGTTATCGTAAGATCCTGCAACCGATCTAGAAATATAACCAGGTACTATAGCAATCATTGCAGCCGCAAATAAACCCGAAGCAGCATCCTAAAAAGTAGTCGCAATATAAGGATAGAAAGACTAATATTTTGAGACGATCATATAGTATAATGAACAATATACTTTTAATTCTTTTGTCAGCAGGTATGTTACAATAGTTGTAAAACTAGAAAATAATGGAGCAAGGAAAACACAAACATTTCGTATATCTATGGTAATGTTTAACATCCATCCTAAGTGATAGAAAGCTGCCGAGGTAACCATTAATCCAGGATATATTGTTCCTACATTGAATTTAAATACATTAGAATAAAATGTAATTGAAATATAATTTCTTTCTCACTTACACAAGTGAATTATAATCTATATTACTACAAACGTTCACACATTCTTACGAAACTTGATATATATTTCATACTTTTATTATGTATCGACTATTTGATATAAACATATACAAATTTTCTTTAATTTAATTTAACACCACTTAATTGTGCATATTATAATTATGATATTACATAAATAAAAGTAGAATTATACATTATAACCTACACAGAATCAAATAATACTGCTTTCTACAAATATATATTTAATAAATCAATTAAAAGTATAAACGTACCTCCAATGATCCTGCCTAATGGATACCATACTCGATCGTCGAACCAATTGAGAAAATTATAAAAACCTTCTTCAGCTAAGTATTTTGTTGTTCGATAATTAAAGTAAGGATCGAATTCATGAATGACACTTTCGAATCTTAATACCGAAAATAATCTTGTCGCAAAGGCTAAAATAATAAGTAATTATTAAAATTATAATTATTATTTAGAATTAAAAGAATTGTATTAATTATTGGCATATTGTTTAAATAGTAACGCACACAATATTGCTGCAAATGACAAAATGGTCAATTTTAATAAAGTTTCTTGTTTCTGTGCAGATATGCGAAGACCTTTAGCTTTTAGAAGGACTCCCATGGCTTATCTGAACAAAAATAAATGAATCTGTCTAATAAATATAGCGATAAAAATAATTAAATTTTTATTTTTTTTTATCAAATATATTTGTATATCGATCAATGCATATATATATATATATATATATATATATATATACATATATATCATGCAAATAAATTTTCAATGTATCCAATTGTTATTAATTTGTTATTTATTCATCAACATTATTGAAAATAAATATTTTTAAAAATTCGATAGAAATAAATAAAGATATCAACTTAAAAACTATACAAATCAATTTATAAAGAAAAACAATTTTGAAAATTCA